GTAGGAGAGTAGTAGGGAGCAAGAAAGAAGACAGTAGTATCTTCCGTGGACGATTCCATGCTGTTCCTTTCCGAAATGACCATTCTGCCCTCCCCCCGGCCACCTGAACCGTCTCCTCCTCCGGTATAAACGCGGCACCAGCACGCAAACGGCACCACCATCTCCATTCCCACTCCTACCAGTACCTCCTCTCCGTCGTTGTGGATCTGTCCGGGCGAGACCGGGGTCGATCGTGCTGCATCTCGCGCGGTGAGAGGGAGCTCTGGAGTCTGGACTGGCGGCGGCGATGGGGTCGTCTGCGGTGCAGAAGGAGGCCGTCGTCCTCAACGGCGGCGGAAGCGGAGCGGGGGAGGACCACCGGCTGCGGGCGCTGGCGGCGAGGACGGTGACAGACTCGCTCAGGGCGGCCGTGGCCAGGTCCAGCGCGGCGGACAAGGCGGCCAGGCTCGAGGAGTGCGCCCGGAGCCTCGAGGCCGAGAAGGCCAAGATGGAGGTCTTCCGCCGCGAGCTCCCCATCAGCGTCCACCTCATCGCCGACGGTGCGTCCGTCCGCCCGCCCCGCTCTCGCAAGTCGCAAACGGTTCCAGGTTTATTGAATTGTTTGGCTGAGTTTTATCTTTCTGTCGTGTTGGGTGCAGTGATCGAGTGGCTGAAAGATGAGGTGGCGCAGCACCGGAGACCCGCGCCGGATCAGCTGCTCGCACCGGCGCCGTCGCCGTCACCTGCACCGCCGGAAAAGAGGAAGGCGGAGGTCGTCAAGACGGAAGCAGACGCGAGCGACAAGCGGAGCTGGATGAGCTCCGCGCAGCTCTGGACCTGCGGGAGCCACAGCAGCACCAGCAACAGCAATGGCGACAGCGTCAAGAAACACGCGCAAAAGGTAGGGCCATGAAATGGGAACTATGGAACACCGAAAGGAGATGTGGCCAGTTCAAATTATCAAATGTAAAAACGAGGTGGAATTTTATAACCTGTGCTTAATTAATCATGCTAACTAGATAATTTAATTAAGATTGTTTTGCAAAGGGTGAAAAGTATACTAGCATAATGTCATCAAGAACTAAAAATACTAAAAAGTTGTACTATAATGTTCAAGAATGATGGCGAATTGTTAAACTATGTGACACTGAAAAACTGGGAAACTTTACAACTCGTCTCGTCAGTGAAAAGTGGGGAAATTTTGTGCTAGCTTTTTCAGCTCATGTGCAATGTTCATTTTGGAGATTTTTGCACCACAAATATGCCAAGATGGCTTGTCTTGCTATCTTCAGATCATACTACTTTTTTGTGGCGGTTTTGAGGTGTCAATGTTTTCTTAAAAAAGATGTCAATTTATCCTACAGATTTTGCATCCCATTCCCATGACAACAACAATCCCAATCTCATTAGCTCATATTCTGAAGAAGTCAATTTCAGATAGCGTATCTGTCTGTTTCTTGTTTCTTACCTGTGTTGTTAATCTGAATTGCATCAGGTGTCCAATGCATTCATGCCACTGAATGGCTTGCCAACCTTAGCAAAATCATCGGAGAGACCAGAGGCGGCGGCCATGGCAGTCCCGGAGCTGTCCTTCTCATCTCCAGCGATCGACGCCCCCTGCCCGGCCGCCCCGAGTGCCGACAGCAGCGCCGTCACGGACGCTGGCGCTCAACGCGAGCAGCAGTCGGCGCAGCGGAAGGCCAGGAGGTGCTGGTCGCCGGAGCTGCACCGCCGGTTCGTCGCCGCTCTCCAGCGCCTCGGCGGCCCGCAAGGTGGGGGTTGAGCATTTCGTAAATCACATTATTTGTCGGAATGCTTTGGACAATTAAGATATGTTCTTCGTGGCTGGTGTGCTGAAATTTTGCTTTGCTGTTGATGCAGTGGCCACTCCTAAGCAAATCAGGGAGATGATGAAGGTGGATGGGCTCACGAATGATGAGGTCAAGAGCCACCTGCAGGTTTGTTCTTATTAACTTCTTTCTGTTCATCAATCTAATCTAGTAGAGTACAATTTTCCATGTTTCCGACCACATGTGCATCAGAACATTTACCAGAAATACAATTCTCTTCCTGCAGAAATACAGGCTGCACACACGGCGAGCATCCGACGGCGACCAGCAGCAGTCGGCGTCAGCCGGACAGTGGCCACGGCCGGAGCAGTACACCACGTCCCAGCACAGCTCGTCGCAGTCTGGCTCGCCTCAGGGGCCGCTGCAGCTCACCGTGTCGAGCCGGGGGATGTCGGTGACCGTCGGAGACAGCTGCGATGGCGGCGAGGAGAACGAAGAGGAGGACGGCAAGTCGGCGAGCTACAGCTGGGAGATGCAGCAGAACGGCACGAAGGCTTCGTTGTCGTCTTGAACACAAAAGAACATGTGTAGAATTTCAGAGGCACGCTGCACAGCAACACACCGCTGAGGGGTTCAGGATTGAGGCTTTTTCTTCTTCTTTGTGTAAAGTGGGTGAGAGGTTCTGAGATTGAGAGGTGTGTTCTTTTTGAGGTGGAATGTGCCGAGAGTTAACTGAACTGACGTGAGTCGTTGGGTTATACTGTATGAGCTATGTTATTAACATTCTATAGAACTTTTGGTTAAAAAATTGGGTGACGATCTGTCGTGCGTGCACTCCATGGCATCCACCAGGAGGAGCTCACTGCCAATTTTCCGTGTGGCAGCAGAGCCTTGGATCTTCATCCTATGCTACAACACTAATATGTAAGTTTGGAAAATCCATATATTGGTGGCGCGATAAACCAAGGGTAATATCTCACTAGATGTTAGTGGACATAACATTACTATGTTCTAATGTTTTTGTAGAAAGGGGGATTAACTCAGAGGCCCCTGCATCATTACATGCACACATATGTATCTATTATATCCAACTTTTTTTGAGGGAAATATTATATCTAAATAGAAGCTCCCTACTATTCGATTTCTCTTCATGCAGCCCATCCACATCAGCGATCAACATGTAGCCTTCCACCGAAGCAAATCTGCCACCTCAACAATTCTATTTGTTTTTCTTCTTCAAATAAACGACATTTTTTTTACCCCGTCACTCTGTTTGCCGCCCCTTCCACTTCATGACCGCTGCCAGCTGGTAATATGTTGTCCCAAGCCAAGGACATTGATTGGATGGTCCGAAGTTCCCAAGCCAAGGACATTGATTGGATGGTCCGAAGTCTCTGTTGTCTAATAGCCATCGTGCTAGTGTTTCGCGTGTTGGTTGGCAGATATCTGCAGTCCTCGACGATGGCTCCTTTCTCCATAACAGGTTCTCTCTCCTAGCCCCTTCTCGCGGTCTCTTGATTCTGCTCCCACACGCTAAACGTGTTGTGTCACGTAGTTGAGGCGCATCCGGGTGGACTCAACCGAGTTAGTTAGATAAAGATAGATAGCTAAGATTCTTGCAACAACATTCATCTCAATCTCTCTATTCTTTCTTATCTCAAGGATATGCCCGCGCCTATATAACATATAGCCGTCGCCTCCAACGAGGTACGACGCTTACCACAAGTTTACATGGTATACAGAGCATCTTCTATCCATTTCATCTAGCCGATCCCATCTCCCACCACCAAGTCCTAGCCATGTCGTCCTTCTCCGACATCATCCGGGCCGTCTTCAACGGGTAGGTCGCCGAGAGGCTATCTAAAAGTGCAAATAATCCCCGGGTGGTCTTTATAATTAATAACGACATATATATCATTGAACTAATGCCTACTCAAAGATAGATTTCAGGAAAGTTCAATGTTGGCATGGCAAGAACATGTGGATGTGGATCCCTTAAAATGCTAAGGAAGCACATTGCCAAAAGCTTCAAGACTCTTCATTTTTGGTTAGTGATTCAAGATCACATTGAGTCCATAGGAAAGCCAATACTATTAAAAGGAGATGAGATTTTGATGATGACTTAATTTCTCAAAGTGCTGGAAGATATTGCTCCAAAACCCTCAACCACTTTTCCACATTCCAATCTGTCGAAACCTTAAATGTCAAACTCGGTCCCACCGATACATTCCCACCGAGTTCAACCTAGACAGAGCCATATCCAAACCCTAGAAGCTCGGTAGAACTGAGATGACATTCGGTCCCACCAAAGTGTAGTGACCAAGTGTGAGAACCCATAATTAACTTCCTGGCCCTTCTGTGTATATTTGTCAACCCTAGGATCATTGTTGGCAACACAGCAAAATGGTATCATTGCACAATACATAAAAATATTATAAGTTAATAAATCTTGCCACAAGGCACACATATAGAAATGTCTCATGGCATTTATTACAATCAGAAAATAGCGGAAAGTAAAATGCATAGCGACTCCATCTTAGCCACAAGCAGTCGATGCAGTCCACGCTAGCTGGTCTCCTCCAACCTCTTGCTATTCCGGAATGGAAGTTTGACCATATCGAGATGGACTTCGTGACTGGTTTTCCTAAGTCCAAGCGTGGAAATGATGCTATCTTCGTTGTCATTGACAAGCTTACCAAAGTGGCTCATTTTCTTCCTATCAAAGAATCTATCACAGCAGCTCAGCTCGCAGAGCTATACACCTCCAGAATTGTCTCCTTGCACGGTATTCCACAATTGATATCTTCAGATCGTGGAAGCATCTTCACTTCTAAGTTCTGGGAATCCTTTCGGACGGCCATGGGCACCAACATTCGTTTCAGCACAGCTTTCCATCCTCAAACAAGTGGCCAAGTCGAGCGAGTCAATCAAATCCTTGAAGATATGCTCAGGGCTTGTGTCATCTCTTTTGGTATGAAGTGGGAAGATTGTCTTCCATATGCCGAGTTCTCCTATAACAACAGCTTCCAAGCGAGTTCGGGCAAGGCCCCATTCGAAATTCTCTATGGCAGAAAGTGTCGTACTCCTCTCAATTGGTCTGAGACAGGTGAACGCCAACTTCTTGGCAACGACTTGATCACAGAAGCCGAAGAAATGTGCAAAGTCATTCATGAGAATCTCAAAGCCGCGCAATCGCGCCAAAAGAGTTACTATGATAGCAAGCACCGTGACTTGGCTTTTGAAATCGAAGACCATGTCTACCTCCGCGTCTCTCCAATGAAAGGCATTCGTCGCTTCGGTATCAAAGGGAAGCTTGCCCCTAGATACGTGGGTCCTTTCAAGATCATTGGCAAAAGAGGCGACCTCGCCTATCAACTTGAACTTCCGTCAAACTTTGCAAACGTGCACGATGTGTTTCACGTGTCACAGCTTCGCAAGTGCTTCAAGACTCCTGAGCGCACTATCAACTTCGAAGAGATCGACCTCCAAGAAGACCTCTCTTATCATGAGCACCCCGTTGCTATTCTTGAAGAAACCGAGCACAAGACTCGCAACAAGTCAATCAAATTCCTGAAAGTGAAGTGGTCACACCATTCCGACCGAGAAGCCACCTGGGAGCGCGAGGATCACCTCCGTTCCGAATATCCGGAGTTCTTTCAGTCCTAGATCTCGGGACGAGATCCTCTTGTAGTGGTGGAGTGTTGTAACACCCCGGATGTAACTTTCCATCTTTGTATCTCCAACTCTTGCCATTTTCGGCTATGTGATATGATATCCCCTCCGTGCTTGGGTTTTGTCTTTTGTTTTGCATTTTATTCATGTCATGCATATCATATCATGTCATCATGTGTATCTCATTTGCATATGTGTTCGTCTCATGCATTCGAGCATTTTCCCCGTTGTCCGTTTCGCAATCCGACACTCCCACATGCACCGGCGCACCCCTCTTATCTCTTTTCATGTGCGGGTGTTGAATGTTCTCGGAATGGACCAAGCCTTTCCAAGTGGCCCTGGTATAGCACCGGTAGACCACCTGTCAAGTTTCGGGTCATTTGGAGCTCGTTTGGTACTCCAACGGTTAACCGCACAACCGCATAGGCCTCTTTTGTGATGCAGCCCAACACCCCTCTAAACAGCCCAATAACCCATCTAAGTCACTTCCATGCTCTCCGTCGTCGGACACGATCGTGTGGGCGAAAACCGCACCCCATTTGGAGTCTCCTAGCTCCCTCTACCTATAAAGATGTGCACCCCTCCGAAAATTCCGGATCCCCAAACCCTAGCCCGCTCCCTCTCCGCCGCCGGACACGTCCGGGCGGAGCTGGGCACGTCCGCCCCGCGCCCCAGCCACCCACGAGCTGCCACGTGGCGCCGCCGCCCCGCCCCCGCCGCCGGCCCGCGAAAGCCCG